ATTAATATTATATTATAAATATTAATAAAATAAAAAATTAATTATTAAATAATAGATATAATTTTATAAAAAAATATTATAAAAAAATTTATCTTTAAATTATTTTTCATTTAATTATTCATCTTTAGCAGGCCAACCAACGGTTTTAGTGGAGAAAAAAAGGGGTTAAATTAATTTGTTGGATGTTCCAATTATGTCATTATCCAATTATGTTGCTCCAAGTTAAAAGCATGAATGATGATCTCTGTTTTTTTGCCAAAAGCATGAATCATGATCGATGTTAAAGTATCTCAATTTTTTCAAAACAATGAAGATGCCTCTTATTTAAGCTTGTTTGCAGTTGACGACTACCTATTTCTCAAATCATGAAGATTATATGTATGAGGTTGATGCGTTAAAAAATATATATGTCTCAATTTTGAATCATCAAGTCAATATTTTTAATTTGTAGAGATTCTTTCTTGTAAAATGCAGATGACTTGTGTTGCTCTAATTTAATAATTATCTGTTGATCTCATATATATGGTTGGAAATGACTTTCTCAATTAAATTATAAAAAGAAGGTTAAAATAAAAAAATAAGTTAGGACAAGGAGTTAGGTTCCTCATTAATTTTTTTTTAAAAGATTAAAAAAGAACGAAGGGAGAGTCATTCTTAATAAGAGAGGTGCAAATATGAAGCCAAATAAAAAGACATAATAGAGTTTTCATCCATTCTTTTGTTTTTTTTTACAAAAAATAAGACAAATAATTTAATATGTATTTACTCAGTTGATATTATGCACTGTAAGCATATAATATCAATGAATATTCTCAATGAATTATTGTCAATAGTTACTCCATGCACATTATCAATTTAGAAAAAAAAGAAGAAGAAGAGAAGAAGAAGATGATTAACCTTTAATAACCCTTTATTCTTATCTTTTTTAAGTAAATTACAAAATTTTATTTTGTTTTTATAATTTCACAAAATAATACTCTAATCAGTCTGCCAACCAATTATTTAGCAGTATCTTATGAGCTCAATATTAAATCATATATAATGAGAGTTCTATTTTATTATTCTTTTTTAAAAAAGAATAAAGACAAAAACTCCTGCTTCCTAGGATATGTTTTGTAATTGAGCTTATTTCTCTGTCAAGCTCGATTGTTATTTTCTAAGGATTAAAATGCAAAAGGAGTCTCCTTTTTCTAAAAAAAAAAAAAAAATCAATTCAAATTTTTTTAATATATTAAATATGAATTAAATAAAATAAT